TTTTTTAGTGGAATTGCTACATACTAACTATCAAAAATTGCTGAAAAAGTATCCGTTACAGCACTACAAATGAGGAAATTGAGAAAATATATCACATAAATTTATTATTGCTGTTCTGTTAATGGTCTCAACACTTGTTTTGTATTTGCATACGATTGGTGGCTTTGAAGTCTTTATATATGGGTCCATATAGAGGTATTCACCATTTGATCCAGTTAGTTTTGTGCCAATATTTCTTCGATGGATGGTTGAAATATTTTTGAAACTCATCTTCACCGCCTGCTTAAGTTTCCATTTAGAAAAATATTTTCTCAGATCAAAAAAAAAAAAAAAAATTAATATTAGGAAGAAAATTTAACGCCAAATTTTGCGGTGGTGGCATTTTTTTACAGCCGGTTCACCATTCGTTTAAGTTCATATTTGAGTCACATACTCATCAAATTTACATAGGTTGTCTATAAATTTTTCCTATAGATGGCGTTGAAATCCAATTATTGGGTAGTCGACAAAGTGTTTTCGTATTTCTAATCAAACATTTTATTTTTATTTTTATTTTTTTTTTTGTATTTATAATGAACCAAATATGTACCATTTTTTGCTATTTTTCCTCTAGAGACATTATTCCATCAGTGTAAAAATTTTTTGGTTTCTTGGCGAAAAACTGCGACAAGTCATTTGCACAATCTTCTCCTGAAGCCAACTTTACTCCATTGAGTTCTGCGTTGACCGAAACAAATAGTATTCCGATGGTGCAAGAATAGGGCTATATGGTGGATGCATGAAAACTTCCCAGCCAAGCTCTCCCAGTTTTTACAGAGTCATCAAAGTCGTGCGTGTGGTCTAGCGTTGTCCTGATGAAATACGAAGCCCTTTCTGTTGATCAATTGCTTTGATTTGATTGCTTACCTCAATCTCATCAGTCGTTGACAGTAAAACATAGAATCAATCGTGCGACTAGACTGGAGCAGCTCATAGTGGATCATTCTTTTCCAATCCTATCCTTTTGAGGCGTTAATCTTGTCCTTATGGCTATTTTTTGAGCTCCACCACGCTTCATGGTCCAAGCGTATTCGTAGATTATTGTCGTATTTGTTGCACTTTTCGTGGCCTTTTACCATTCAGAAATAGTTCGCTTTCATTTCGTTTCAGTAAATAATCGCAGATGTTTATTCGGTCCATTAAATATTTCACAGATAATTCATGTGGTACCCAAACATCGAACTTCTCTTTGAAGCCATCCTTTTTGAAGGGGGTTCAAAATCGCTTAATGATGAATATTAAGTTCCTTAGCGACATCATGGCTGCTTATGTGTCGGTTCTGGTCAATTTTTTTTAATAATTTTATCGATTTTCTCAACAATAGGTCGGCCAGAGCGAAGTGCATCTTTCACATTGAAATTTCCAGAATGGAAGTGAGCGAACCATTGTTGTGCTAGAGAAACTGATACAGCATCGTCACCGTAAACTTCAACAATTTCAATGGTGGCTTGCGTGGCATTCCTCCCTTTTTATACAAAAATTGCAAAATATAGCGAATTTCTTCATTATTTTCATTCATTTTTGAACAACTGCAACTTTTTCAACTTCCCGGAATTTATTTATTTATTTATTTTTTTTTTTTGATTAAATGAAGCTTAAAATCTCACCTTTCTAACACAATGGAATGACACAATGTGATTGGTAGCACTGGAGATATGCGAAAGAACGACATCTGTTGACAAAATACGAAAAGACTTTTTCGACATTCCATCCTGTATATTACTTTGTGTGGAGTATAGAGCAGCTTAGAATAGTCAAGTCTAAAATACTAACAATTTTATTAGTAGGTACCTAGTACCTCATTGTGTATACTAAAGGTTAAAAAAATATTATTTTAGCTGTTCTCAAACGACTGCAATGAAAGCTAATAATTATGCGTTCATTAATAATCAAGAAAAAAAAGGATTTCTGCTACCACATTTCAGTGGCGGTACTTTCACTTACACACAAATAAAAGAAGCTCCGCTATATTCATTTTTATTATAAGAAGCAATACTAAATGTTTTCATTTGGTTACTTAAAACTTAAAAGCCAACTTTATAATCACTCAACTTTTATCCAATCATTAGTAACGCAAATCAGCTTATTGAAAGCCTTAAGTTTAAGAACCTAATTGTGAATTCACTTTCAACATTTTTCGCCAAATGGAACCGCACTACAAAGCGTTAAGCAAAACAACGAAAGCAACATAAATTCATTAATAATCTGCTAATGCTGTGATTCAGAGAAATTGATAATTACACTACAGACAACTTATTCAATAACCCTTGGTGCTAGATTAACTAAGCTTAGTGCACTAACAAATATGTATACATATATGTATATGAACAATAGGGTGTACGTTGCTTGTATTTCAGCTTGTGTCCTAAAATTGGAATCAGCTTTATTTTACATTTAAAACGCGTTTAAATTATTTCACTTTTTTCATACATTCTACATGGGATTTTATGATATTTTGGCATACATCTCTAAAGTAAATAAACCTAGCATCCTAAGATATTGATATTCTAAAACAAAATTTGTCGCTCGACAAAAAAGTGGCAGAAATTTTTTTCATTAAAGCATTCTTTTAAAAGCAGTTATAAGCAGTTAAAATTACGCATCACATGCACTGTATTCATACAGTACACCATAGCGTATGCGTAACATTGAATGTATAAATCACTGGCGCAAATGCTGCGTTCGCTTGATGTTTAACTTTTAAATAAATGTTTTTATGGAAAAGCTGAAATTTCAGCGGGCTAAAATCATCTTTTTATATAACGCATACCCTATTTTACAAGTACACCTACATATCTACACACCTTCTTATAATATTCATACTCAAGGCAAGGCTGTGCTCTGTTGAGCAAAACGCGACTTTTAATTAAATTCCTTCTCGGAATAATATGCGGAAGAATCAGTGGGCGAGAGGAAATACCAAAAACTCCCATCATCTTTCCCATGAAAATCGCCTTTGGTAAAATATGGCGTCGACAAGCAAATTGGTTTCAAAGCGCTTTAAGAAATTCTGAGAACACATAATTTGTAGCATTAAAGGTTTATTGACATTCTGCCTTCTAACTGCCTTACTGTTAATAATTTGAGCACAATTTATAAATAGTTTACTGCTGCCTAAGATAAATTTAAATCGAATATATATTTTTTTCCTGCAGAAAAATGTCTACATTTTTTTCAAAACATTTCTTGTCGCTCATTTCGATCATTTGGTCAGTTGAATTTTTCATTTTCATTGCTTATTATTAAGCTCAGATGTTCGTGCGATTAAAGAGGGTTGTCTAGGAATGCAATGGTTTCAAATTAATGGTTTTTAGTCTGTTACATATCGTCGCCTAAAATGCAAAATAACGGAATGTCACTTTTTCATAAGTTTAGGGGCGATGAAAAACGGTATAATAAAAACCGCCAATATTGAAACAAACTTTGAGTTTGGGTTATAAAATGGTTATATATTGGTTATTATTACTTACAACGATTTTTTTTTTTAATATAAAAATAAAAATTATTTTATGAAAAAAAAAAATCAAAATGGCGGAAATATCAAGGATCCTGTTGACTGACATTTTTATGTGGCCGTCAACTTCATGGCTAAGCTTCTTATTCGTAGCGAAATTTTATTTTTAATTTGGAAGCTTCTATCAAGTGCATACTATGGGGTTTTGTGAATTTCGAAAAATCGGGGATGTAGGCCAGGATTGAGTATATAAATGTCTACAAAATACAATTTAGTTCAAGTAAATTGGTGAAATAATTCGCTTGCAATTTTGACGGTTTCAAGGAAACGAGCCTCAAAGTGCTCCGGATTTATAGACCGCAGCATCAAGTGCTATATCTTCGAAAATATTTGGAATAAACTAATGATATTTTTGAATAGTTTTTCAATTGATTAGAGCGAAAAGAGTTTTCTAAATAAATTCTAAAGGTATCTCTCCACTTAAGGAAATGTTTAAATTAAAATTCATATAGAGTAGAAGCGTATAGTTGGCCAGCTGCTAATATTGTAGTGGAAACAATTATCACGTTCGGTGTTTAATTTCTTGATTGTTGTGATGATAATTTGCTAATAATTCTTTACTTGTTTATGTATTGGCGCCTCGTCGATTTGTGAGGACCTGATGATCTCCTCTTATGAGTTTACGGGTAGCATGTAGGACGAACATTGTCTTTATATTAATGATCAGTGCAACGATTAAGTCAATTTAGTCATTTAATTCTGTCTGTCCGTCTGCATATACGCAAACTAGGATGCTAAAGCTTTTGCGATATCCATCTGAAATTTTGTACACGTATCTCTTTCCCCCCAGAAGCTACTCGATATTAAGCAACTGTGGCTATAGTTGCTATACAAACCTGATTAAGCCAACTCAAGTCCTCATAAGAAAACTTTTCCTATGTGACTTCAATCTCCGAAGAAATTATTCCGATCGAACTGCTAATGCATATAACTGCAACTTGAACGATCAAAATCATGAGAAAAATCCTCATGTAAGATTTTATGCTAAAAGAAATACATCTCTGTAAAGTATTGTAGCTTCGGTGCAGCCGAAGTTATCATTTTTTCTTTTTTTTTTTATCTAAAAACTTGATAACAACGCCACCTATGACAACAAATATCAATTTGAGCAACTATTGGCTTACATTTTTGTAAAATTTTAATTGCGACTTAAGCCATTTTTGGATTCAAAGGTGTAAACGTTTTATGAATGACAAGTGCCTAGCAACGATAAATGTGCACTTTCAAAGCGCAATTTAATTACCGAATACCCTTTACTGGCTGAGGGATTTGAAAATACCGTTATAACAAAACAAACGTACCAGCATCCAACTGGATGCTTCCTACGACATTTCTGTATTACTTTGCATCTCCCTACTTGCTTATGCAATGCTTGATTGCTGCGCTATGTTTACTTAACCATTCTCTTATTTTTTCCTAATTCTTCTTCTTTTTCGATTTCTTACAGGCCGAGATCTGGAGTGTGTTCATTGCTATTCTACGCAAGAGCGTGCGCAATTTGCAGGCATGCACAGACGTCGGTCTAATCGAGCACGTATTGGTGCGACTACAGCGCTCCGAAACGGTTGTGGCAGGTATGTATACAACAACAAAGACAATAAGTAATAAGTCAATTTAAGGCGAGTATGATTTTTGCTGTGAAAGTAGTACATTTGAATGTATGTAAGTGCTCATGTGCCAATATGATTTGAAATCTGTAGAAATAATTTTAATTAATGTGAGTGAGGGGGTAAATCCGGAATCGTTGCAAAACCGACGAATTTTGGAAAATATGAAAACAAAAATATTTTTGAGGAGCATATCATATCGTTTGTTAGCTCGCTTTTCTTATGAGGGTGGGTGATTTTTGTAAGTATTTCTTTTTATTAGTTCTATTAATATTTTAAGTTCTATACAAGAGTCTGACAGATTTGAAGTTGCTTTGCTTTACAGACTTTTTTGTTGATACCACAGAACCTCCTGGGAGTTGATTGCAATTAAAATGGACCTTTAAATAATTTAAGATATGATTATGTTACTCACTCTCGTCTACTTGGGATCTCTCTCGGTATACCTGGAATATCTCTCGGTCTACTTGGGATCGCAGTCATCACGCGGATACCTTAATTTATATACCGAGAGCAATAAATTTCACACCGGGCTTTGTCTTACTTTCACTACACCATAACGAACCGCTCCTCCACTGGTTTGGTGGCACTCAGCCATTGTCTTGGTATGTAGAGTCTTTGGGTTAAATATATACGAGCTCAAATGTGTACATGTACTCTAACTGACATGCACAGAGCTCCTGACCTCCCAGAAACCCTGACCCCCAACAGCAACTAGGCAACACTTTTCGGTTTCAATCATTTGAAATGAATCCGATTCAATTCACGTCTTTACTTTTTCATCTGCGTGCGTGTATGTGCGCTGCCACATATTCCCCCCCTTATTTTTTGGCAAATTTTTTCCCCACTTCCGGCTGAATTGGTCCAATGCCTATGGCAGCGTTCATTCAGTTTTTGCCATGTCGCATCAGCTTTGTCATCGACGCTTGGTTCGTCGTCAACGTCGCCGCCTCCGTCTACTCGAAGCTGGTTGCCTTGGCGTCGTCGTCAGTATGCGTCAGTTGTCGTGGTTTTATTTGCTCTTTGGACTTTGGTACGTGTGCTTTCACTAGGCGCTCTAGCTAGTTTGTTTTGGTGTTACATGCGCCAGCACACACACACACACACACACATACCATGCATGTCACGTATGTGCGTTGAATTCCATTCGGCAAATCGATTTGTGTGCCGCGCTGGTGGTCTGGGTGTGACCACATCCTTCAGCCAGCATTTGTTTGTTTGCACAGTGATTGAAATGCGAGAATAAGATTATTGAATTAGAAGTAAGAGATTCACATTTAGCAAGAGAGTAAATGACGACTAGTAGGGCGTAGTAACAAATACTTGTTGTATTTAAGCAAATATGAATGCAAAATAGCGGAGGCGGTGGCAATGCTATTCATGGACAGGGAAATTAATAACTTTTGTGTGCTAAATCACTGGATATGGATCTTCTATTGAATGCTTGTTTACTACAAAATGTTTCTATCTTCTGTTTTGTTGTTATATGGCTATACATTTATAGTATTCAAGCTTTCAGTGTATCACTAATGTAGACAATGCGGTCTTTCTAATGGATTACACTTCTTAAGCTAGAAACAAATGTAAAAAATTATTTTTTGTCGACGATTTTTCGTAAATTCGTTTATGGCTTCATCCCACAAATTACGTCCACAATATCTAATTTAAGCGGTTATATTAAATTGCCAGTCAGAAAAACGCATCTTTGCGAATTTAAGCATTTTGGTTAAGTATAAATAAAAGAAATGCATGTCATGTATTTTAGGAATAGGCGATTCATTTTCAAAAACTTTGCATTTTCTCAATTCAGTAGCCGATCTTCTGGTGAACTCTCGAATCTGCTTAAAATTGTTTCAAATTAACAAAGTAAAAACAAAATACTTTTACTACAGACGAGTGAAGGTATTGATCGAAGAACGTGCCAAAATTTTCTTTTATGACAAAATGGCGGCTACCCAAACACAGGTGAGATTAAAAAATCGAAACTTATATCAAAACTCTGATTTCTTTGAACATTATCTGGCATATATATATTTTAAAAAATCGTATGAAATTTCAAATCGATCAGTCAGTAACTATTGAAAAAGATTTCTTAACCGACTCTCTTCCAGAAAAACATATTTAAAGTTTTGGGATCTCGTTCCACAAACCTGAAAACATATTAAAAATACCTTCATATCTCAGAAACTAAATATTTGCCGCATCAATTTAAAATTTTTACACATATTTTCAAATATATGGACATTTACAATACATGTGTATGCATAAACAATAAAAAAAATCATTTTTTTTTTTTTTGTTAAAGTAGATATATCTCCTAAAGGGATTTTTCACAAAACTTCAATACCTCACATCCATTCCGAAAAAATTTATAAATTCACACAACTAATTCCGGGATTATTGAGGTTGGGACTGATGATACTACCATAAGCACCATACATCTGGCTTCAAACCCAGAAAATGGGAATATATGGTCTCGAAAGGACTACTGGACGGTTGTTGGCCTAATGACATCACAACTTACTGACATCACATGCGACCCTATAGGCATAAATAACGGAGATATATGATAAAAGTGAAGAGATGTAGGCAAGACTTGTCTTAGATATTTATGTGCTTTGCTAGCCGTTCAGCTCAAATTAAAGTCAACTTATATCTGACAATATTAAGACTGATCCTTTAGGTCTATGTATGGCTAATTCCGACAATTAGATGTTGACAACCGCGTAGTTCTCCTTATAAATTCACAACTTCGTAACATAATAACAGCTGCGATAGTTCATTCATTCCAGTGTAACCTATTAATCTAACCTAACCAAAAATTAAGCAATGATTAGTCATTTATATATAAATAATTTTGTCTTTCAAGTATTTATGTTTTGTGGCCTTTCAAATCCCAATTCGTCCTCAGCAAGCTATTAACAACGATATTCGAACTTTTGTAGAAAATGTGATCTATATGCTTCTAATTCCATCTAAGAGCACTAAAGTTAATTTATATTTTTCCTTAGATATATTTTTTTAAACCTATTTGTATTCCTTTTCTGCTGAAACATAATCAGACTCTATTTTTCTCAGTATCGAATCGCTTTCATTTTCTTCACACATTTTCAATTGCTTTGGTTTAAGCGCTGAACTCCTAATCAGAATTTAATGAAGTATGTATATAAATTTAAATCCCACCATGTTTACGTTATCTTTAAAAATATCCAAATATACCGAAAATAATTTCACTAATACCGTTATAAAAAAGTAGGAAAATAATACCACTTGGTTTTATTTACTTAAACAGTAGATTCCAATAAAAAGCAATAATAAGCACAAGAAATCTCGATATAAATTTAACTGCTCGCAGTTCATGGATACATATATACTACATCTACTTATAAGGACCTGAGCAACTGAAAGAGCTCCTCGCACACACACAGATTCTTCTATCACACCATCAATGCTAACGAAGACATGTTTAGTGCGCTCATTTGCGTTTGCTGCGAACACGTTAGCAATTAATTCAATGCTTAAATCTGAGGCGAAATGTGGGGCTGGCTGTCGCAGCGAGTGGGTGGAGGAAGTGAAACGCTGGCGAACTGAGTAAAAATGTGCAAAAAAACAGCAACACAGAATGAGAGGAGAAGACTCAAGCGTGAAGCTGAATTCAAGCAAAAAGAAAGTATATATATATCAAATACATACTTATACATATGTATTTAAATATATCTACATAAAGGAGTCTCCGATTGTGCGCGCTTGTGTTGGTAAATTCGTCGTAGCGCATTAAAGCGCATATGTTAAATTACAAGCGAACAGACACGCATTCCTTGCGCGTGACGTACATTAAATTAGACTCTCGCACACAAGAAACCCATGCTTTTCTGCTATACTTATATAATATACATACATACATATATGTACAATTATCCACAAACTCTTACTAAAATGCCACCACATGAAACCAGCAAATCTGCGCACATTTTGTAATTGATTAAAGTGCTCATTAGTGAGAGTGTAGGGATGTGCGGGTGGCTGAAGCCAATATTGCGCAGAAATCTCAGTATCTATGCAAACTATAGCCAAGATTGCGTGTGGCTAATGAACTCCCTAAAATATGCTGCGCTTTGGTTGCCGTATGCTGTCACATAAGGTGTTAACCGAAAGTGACCTATTATGCAGGCATGCTAAGGCGATGCCGATAAAATCACATGGTATGCTTGTTTGTAGTGGTAATTAATTTAGTATTTTTATTGCATACTTTGTGCGGTTAAAGCTAGCTTTATTGCATTATTGTAAGACATTTGTATGCAACATTATTGACAAGTCGAAACACATTTGTTTCAGGATTCATAGTTTGTTATTACTTCTTAATTACAAGAGTAGTTTAGTAGTTCTACGTTATTGTATTTTTGGTCAAAATCTGTCGTTTACAAACCAAATTTATACACTTGATCATAATAGAGGCTTTCGCAGCGGTTCGTAAAATCTAAAATTACCCGCTAGGTGGCGCTCGACGTACCTACCTCAGTCGAACTATTAGTTTTCTTATTTGGATCGGATATTTGAGAATATTTTTGGCGATAAAGTGTTTGATATTAATTTTAAAATTTCTGTATATTAATTTTAGTCTATTTAAGACTACCAGGCTTTTCAACAGGGGTTATATGTTTTTTAAGCATCGTTTCGGCCATTTTTAATATGTCATGATCTGTAATCTTTACAATTTTGTCATGGAAAGTTAGACGCACGAACAGCCTTTACAAATTAGTGAATTTTATTATCAAAATAATCATTATTCAACTTTCCATTGCAGCTTTTCGAATGGTTTTGTAATTATATAGTCATATATATCGTCCACATGTGCTCTCTATTGGTCGAATTCTTGAAAATTTCGAGCGCATATTTTCCTTACATAATGCTCAACTGCCAAAAAGACGAAAAACCGCACGAAGTAATGAAAATATTGCTGCCGTTCG